GGGGTCTCCAACTGGACAATCCCTGCTAGGTGGCGCTCTGGTGCACGATCAAAAAGACAAGAGAAAGGAGAACAGCCTTGTTATTGAGCCTATTGAAAACAAAGCCAGATACACAAAATACTACATGCATCTCGAAATAAAAATATAATCTTTAATATTTAAATTCTGGTAACTATTGCTCCTGCCTCTTGTTTTTATTGAGAATGACACTACCTAGCAGGAATCGACTGGTTAGACACCCCTGGCCTAGACTATGAGCTCAAAGTCACTATGTGGGGCTTGAACCCAATAACCTTCTAACCTAGACTCAAGAATGCAAATAACTGAACCAAACTGACACTGAGAAAATAAGAGAGGGGAAAACTCAGAAACAACTCTTAGTGTGGTGTAGTGACTGTATTTTGTAAATGAACATGGCAGCTAATTGATGTGCAGCAATATTCTGCAAACAACCATGAAGTGAATGATCAATTAAGCTGCAATTGTTGGTCAGATACCCAACGAATCTCACCTTCTCTTATCAACTGTCTGATCTGAAGGACAGTGCCTCTAATATTATAGTGCTCCCCAACACTGCCCTGAACTATCAGCCTAGATTAGTAGCTCAACGTCCTGCTGATATTACCAATTGAAGAACCTCTCCAAGTGCTTTACATGATTTACTGTGAAGAATAATGTAGATTTGTAGCTGATCATGAATTAAATATCCCCAATTGGAGTCACCATCAGTAATTTCTTACTACTTTACTCTGAGATTGAAAAATATTGTTATATTTGAGTAGAAATCTCTTTAACAAACACATTTTATATTTTAGATAGTCCTCTCAAATGTTCAAAGCATCAGAGATTATTTCTTCTGTAATTTCAAAGTTTGTATTCCTTTGTAGATTCAAAAATGTAATCTGTTGGCCAGAGAGAAGGAAAATTAGTTTTATTGTTTTGCTAGTTATTAATGTTCTATCTTAATCATCTTAATAGTGCCACTATACATGTGTGGTGCACATAGCAGGAACTACCTGTAAAGTGGATCAATGTCATTTTGACCATGAAGAGCAATTGATTTTTATCAGACGGCATGGTATTAATTAAACATGATTTTGGAAGTCGCTAAAGCTAATCACAGGAAGTGAGCTCTTTTCAATATTGTTATGTGATCACCTCTCTTTTTATTTGTTTCCTTCTGATCTTTTTTTAAAGTAATTTAAGCAAAATTCCCCACAACGTGATTTGACCGGGTTGCAAGCAAGTTAATGCTCCAGCTGTGATTTCCTTCCTAGCTGTGTGAGCTGCTTAATGGTTTTATTCTTTAGAAGCTAGCTTTAACAAAAGAGCCATTCACACTGTATTAAATTTGCCACTGTTAAAAGGTGAGTAGTGACAGCTGATAATAATACTCCTTGCATTTGATATAGTGCCTTACCACGTAGTTGAGATGTCTCAAAGCGCTTTACAGAATATATTGTAAAGTGTATTTTGCGGGCGAAATGCGACAGCAGTTTCCTACAAACAGTCACCAAATTTTTTTGGGGGGATGGATTAGAAAAGCGATCCATTTCCCCGGAAAGCGATCCACCAATCGACTAACAAATAGGTTCCCACTTACTTCTAGGTAAAACAAAGGCCTGTGAAGTAAGGAAACGTGCCGAAGTTTTGTCTTGCCTGGGCATGGAACCCAACCCGGGTCCTCTTGCTTGCCAGGCGAGCGGACTAAACACTACGCTGCAGAACTCCAAAATGGAACGGAATCTAATCTATTAGTGATCATTTGGCGATCACTAATCATAGCGATCTTTTTATTTCATCCAAACACTCAGGTTTAGGCAGTAAGATTCAATTGATGATTTATGGATCAAATTTGTTTTATGTTTTGCAAATGAATAATGCCTATTATGTATCATTATTCTTAACTCCCTAGTGCCTAAAGTTTAGGAAAGCCCAGGGGGTTGACACCTAGCTGTGTCTAATTGATTTTTGTTATTAATTGGTATTTTGGTTTCCAAAGCAATTACTTTGATCTTATGTAAACTGTATTGTGAGAAAACCTGGTCACCTGATTAGATATTTTTGTCAAAAAGGTTAGTCATCACAAGAGAGGTTTGGTTCAAGAAGGCCTCTCGGCCTATGTGATCTCATTCTCATTAATTAACCTCTAGGTAAAGAAATACTTCCTGATATCTTTTCTGAAATTGCCCTTTGCAACCTTAATCCTACTATGCCTTCTCATATTGTTGTCTCGATGCATTGGAAGAAACGCTCTGAGAGTCAAATAAACTCACAGTAAACAAGCTGAAGAGAGTATGGATTATTCTTGTTTGTCGTAAATAGCCTTAAAATGTTGGATATTTCAGACCTGATTCTTATCAGAACATTAATGGACAGTCTACCATGGGCTGCTCCTGTGCATGCATTAGTGGCCTGACAGGAGAGTGGCTTTAATGGGTCGGATAGGGAAGAGGCTGGTTGCCTGCTGTCTCAGGCAAGATATGATCTGTGGCCTGAGCAGACTTAAAGAGAAGACTTAAGAGGGATATAATCAGTGTAATTATTGAATGAAAAATGCAATGTTTCAAAACAGATTTGATAATTATATGCTTCTTGGACATTTTGTGTTTGTTCTCCTTGCATGTCCCCTGAGACAAAGAAAGGATGATTACCATGCAAAGTGCTTCACTTTTCTTTGTAAGTACAGTAGGTTGTCATTGCCCATGAGAGCCAGGCAGTCTGTGAGAAACAGCATTAGCTCAACTTACAGATCAGCTCTCACTCCTCTCAAGCCCCAGTTTGAACCCTTTGCAAACCTAATTATGAAACAGAATTTTCCTTAAAATCCTAAACCTCCATTATCTTTCTGTGCCATGTACATGCTAAAATACACATGTAAAATTTGATTTGTTTGCCTGCCTATATTTTGTGCAGAAAACCGAGACACGGAACCAAGCTTTTGTTTACAAATGACACCAGAGTTGGTGCTCATCTCAGAGTGAGGAATCAGCCCTGTCAGTCATTGCGGATCACATTCTGGTTTTAATCTGTTTTAATCTGTTTCACATTTATAAAAATATTTATGGCATTGTAAAACATGGCCCCATTATAACATCTAAAACCAGAAAGGGACAATATTTTTTTTAACTGTATATTTTCAGTCTTTGCAAACAAAAATGAACAATTTAATACTTAATTGAAAACACCGATTATTATTGGGAGGATAGATATCAAGTCTAAAGGCCTGAAATACAACATGATCTTAAACTGTACGGTGATTTTGTTTCATAATTTTAGACCACAAAAAACTGTGGCAAATCCTAAAATTCAGTCTGAATTTGGAAGACAGCTCCTGTGAAGAGCTGCAGTTGACAAACTAACAGTTAATTGAAGGATTTTCCACTATTCTGCACGCAATTAAATTTTAAGGCAAAATGGCTCACAGATTAATACCAGGTGAAATTCCAGATCTTTAAAAGGCACATCATTAAAAATGTGTACTATGATCATATTGTGAGAACGTGTCCAGAATGCTATTCTGGATGAGAGCAGACCCAGTAACCCAAAGCAGCATAATATCACCCACATGTTTGTACTGAGTAAAGCCTTGATCGTGACTGAGGCAAGAAATCAGCAATCAAGGTTGGGGGTGGGTTGAAGGGGGTGGGGTTGGCGGAGGGCAGCCTGATCCTCTTCTCACCCAACATCCACAGGAACCTCCCAGCAAAGAGGTTTCAGGAGTGGAAACCCTGACAGATTTTCCTCCAGGGCTCTAACCCATGTTGTAGTACTGTTTTAGGTCAGGCTGAGATCAGCTAACTAAGCATGGGGCAGGATTCAAACCTATCACTTTCTGTCCTGCAGGACCAAGTGCCACAAACCCTCACACGTTAAAAAAGATTGGAAGCAATCTCGGTACCTTTAAGCATCAACCAGTGCTAGTGTGTTTTGGAAGTTCTTTCCAAAGTCTGAAAAACTTAAGTTGTTACTGTCAGGTGTTGAAATTGAGTTATACAGGTGTTTGATCTAGATGGAAGAAGATACTAATTAATTGATCATTGACATACTCCTGTGCATAAATGTATCCATGATATTCTTCCACAAAATAGACAATCACTACTCTTTGCAGTAATTTCTGTGAAGTGCTCTGAGAGGACTTCCTGATGTGAACAGCTCTATATCAAATGCAAGCATTATTATTATGTAAGGTATACAACAACAACAACCAATTGCATTTGTATAGTTCTTTTACATCGGGAGGATGTCCCAAGGCACTGAGCAGGAGGGCACAAAGAGGTTAAATACAATAAACATGTATTTAGAGAGAGATCAATCTGCATCTGTGCCAGGGAATCGTGGAGAGAGAGGTAAGTAATAGAGCCACTTTCCTGCTTGAGTGGAAAGAGTGATCAAGCTAAAATGTTCCAAGTTGGTATGTTCTGCACATGTTGTTCAGTTCTGCGAAGCCTGCGAACATGATAATTGAGAGGAGAGAAAATAAAAATGTCAGCTATCTACAGTTAATTCTCACAGTTCGTAATGTGATGACTGTTCAAACATGGGACTGAGTGAAAATCAATTCTCTGTGTAGGCTGTATATATGGGGTGAGAAATGCATGTGATATGATGGTTCTAACTAGATGTTTCACCCCGAGGATACTGTGTACTGCATTGGGGTGGGTTTACCTCCTGTTGAGAAATGTATTAGATTTGATTGCATGTGTGTAATAATTTTTTTTCCAATCCAAGTACAATTCCCAAACCTGGGGATTAATTCACTTCTATCTCTGGTGAAAATGACAATAACTACACATCCCAAAGCAACTGCACCTCACATTAACAGTGAAGGCTGTTTCAATATATTGAACACATTCTAAGACTTAATTCCTTATGCAATGCCTTATGATATTTTTAAAACTAAAGACTCCAGTTTGGTGAAATGAATGTTGTTTTGCAAGCGCTCAGCAATGGTGCGCTATATCTAACCTCTTTTCTCTTTTGTTGTGGTGCCTCTTCAGAGATAACCACGCTATCTGGGGGCAGACTCTCATCTCTGCAGGATTTGCCAGCTCAGCTTCAGGAACTCTACCAGAAAGGCTTTGTCTTGACTGCCTTCCATCCCTTTGTCCTGCCCACGGATAAGCAGACGATAACTCCAGAAGAGCAAATGTTCAGGGCCATTCTGATCAAACCAGCAGTGAGGTAAATTTAGCATGTCAACTAAGTGGGATTGGAAATTACTGTAAGGTCACTGGGGTCACATGCTTCCATGGTACAGGTAGCTTTCTGTTTGTAGACAATCGAAGGGTATACCTGACAATTTAAGAAGATTTTATTTGTAATTAGCTGCAGAATTTACCTTTGTGTAAAGAATAAGAAATATGAGTCCAAATGTTTTTGATCCTCCTTGGAGCTGGCACCAAGGTGACTTGCTTGGCAACCTGAGATCACAATTGAGCCACAAATTTGTGGCGGTCTCGGTAGTCCAGTTCCTGATCCAGTAGGTCCACAGTACTGCAGGGACCTGTTGATGACAGATCAGCCTCATCAGCAGGATGTGGTAGGCAAACCAGACACTGGGGGTAGGGATTCTTCTAACTCAGTTCCTGGTTACCCTGCGAGCTAAAGACCTAGTAGGGAGGGTTGTCCTAACTGGACAAATAGCACAAGGCTTATCAGCTAGAGCTCTCATCGACACTCGTCGTGGATTTAATGGTTATAAACTCCAGCAATATCCCATCGTACACTGTGTGGTCCCCAAGCCTTGCCTCTTCCCAACCTCTTGCCTGTTACTCTCTTCTGGAATTAGATAAGCAAGGTGCATCCCTTTGGGGAGAGAGTGTGCACTCCATTCTCGACACAAGGACATTTCCATTGAAGGTGGCTTCCATTCCATTCCATTGAGAGCATAATGACAGGACAGACATGTATCAGACACCTGGCTGAAAAAAAATATTTGGGGAATGATAACAAGCATCGTAAGGAGTGCTGGGGCAAAATATCTTTAGGAGATAATTTTTAAAAGGTATGCTTTGCAGAAAAAAGACAGTGGGAGTCTATCATGTGATAACCACGAATATAGCAAACTTGGGTTACATGTTTATAATGAGATTTCACAGATCCCACTTGGGGGTCTCTGAAATCCCATTATAAATGTGTTACCCAAAGATCACTTGGGCCTTCAATGGCACTTTTTCCAAGAACTGGGTACATTCCATCCTGTTGTGGGTCCTATTCCATCCAATGAATTTCCTGAGGGAAAGTTCAGCACAAATATTCAACAATCCCCAAAAGAATTTCAAGAAAAACACTGAATATTTAACCATTTGTACAGTTAATACTGCTGCACTTGATAACAGTACATGTGTTGCTTTGTGATAATATCGTTTGTAATTCCTGGATTTTAATTTTTGCTGAAAGAAAATACTTTTGTCCAATTTCAGCGAAGGCAACTTAATCAGTTTCTGCTGGAGCTGGCAGGTTTCCAGCTCTGGGGTGGGGGAGGGGAACTGTTGAACTTGGTGTGGCCCAAATTAACTGAAAGTAAAACCTGGCTTCCAAATTGAAACATCGTGAAGTGATTATCCAGTACATTTAAGGACAGGACAAAACATTGAAATGTTTGGGTCCAAAAAACTGTCATGTGGCATCTTATAGAAATAAAGATTGCAGTCGGGGCTAAACACAGTGAATCATTCTTCCTCAGGCTAGAGATAGAGTGCAGCATTAGTTGTCCGTTCAAAGTCACTTCTATAAGCGACGAGCACTGGTTTACTTTGCAGTCAAATAGCTACTGAACCTACATAATAAACACTGACAATAATGCTTATATTTGGTGTAGAACCTTTCATGTCAGGAAGACATCTCAAAGGATATCACAGGTTTACTGTAAAGGGTTATGACTCTATTTTGTAGATGAACACAGCAGCCAATTTGTGCAGAAACAGCGAAGAAGTGGTGACCCATTTTATTTGGGGGATTTTTGGCCAGAACCACTGTGAGAAATTCCCTTTTCTTTCAAATAGTGCCATGGGATCTTTAACACCCACCTGAACAGGCAGATGGTGCCTTGATTTAACACGTCATTCTAAAGCTTTGCCACCTCCAGTAATGCAGCACACCCCAGCACTGCATCTGAGTGTCAGCCCAGACTATGTGTAGACTGAGGCAGGCTGACATCTACTGTTTGCTGACATTAATTAGCAAGGAGAAGTGATGATTAATTAATTAACTCAATATTTATTTTCCTGGTATCAAGCCACACACTTCATCTCTTATACTAGTCCCATCATGCTGTTTAGTTAAATGGCTGTATCTGCATTGTGCTGTGTCTCCATTGTATAAAAGTGATAAATGCAAAGTTCACTCAGTGCATAATAGATAATACTGTTACAAATGTCTGGCAGTGCTGGAGTCAAAAATTCAAACCCAGCAGAACTTGAGGTCAGTTCTCTTTTATCCATTATATTTATGAAAACAGACAGCTTCTAATATCACAGCACAGCTCTAATATCACAGTATATCTCTCAGTTTTGGCCTGCAGCCATGATAATTCTGTCCATTTCAATTTAATCAAGTCTGATGCTTACTTTATAACCGTGGCAATTTTTTTTTTGCATGTTTTACAATTTGTCACAATCACCATTCCTTGAAGGATCAGAGAATGAGAAATCATTAGCAATTCATGTTATGAAACACAAGTTAGATTAGAAGCTGTTGCTATCCTCTCGTGATTCTCGCCTTGAAAAGGCTGTGTTTGATATGAAAATTATAGCGGGTTTTAAACTTTTCACTGTAATCATTTTCCATGTAAATATTGTTTTAATTCATGTAGTTCCTTTGGGAAAGATCTCTGAACGTGTTTGGAAGATCGTAAGAATGAAAAATGGAAGCGATTATTCTTGCCTCGTTTTCTCATTTTTCAATATAATTCAAGCATATTATTTTAACCTCTCCACCCAGTAGTGGGAGTTTTAATAAGATTGTTATCTGGCAAAAATGTCAAACTTCAGGAAATTATGTTATAGAACAGTTAGTCTGGGAGAGGTTTTAGTCAAGTAAATATCACGTTCACAAATCTAAAGTCTTATTTTTTTTAAAAAAAGTAACACAGAGACATTTTCAGCCAGTAAAAGTATACTTCTGCACACTTAGTAGTATAAACAATGTGATGTTTGTTATAGGATAAATGGAGCACTGTAGCAAGTAGCCAAGGGTTAGTACATTTCGTTTTTAATGTCATTTCAGCTTCAATGTTTCTTTGGAAACAGCAAATTTACGAATTTGTGTTGTTAGCACGCACATATTACTGTAATGCATGCAAACACCGTGCGGTGTAAGAAGGAATGTAAGATGGAGACTTGACAAATCACAGGATCGTTGCATTTGAGTTTATTGAACCTCAGCCTGCAGAAATTAGAGAGGTGGAGAGTGCTGCTATTGTAGCTTTGTTGGAACTGTAACTCATTCCAAGCTCCAGTGATCCCAGCAATTTTACAATGGGGAATGGTATTAGCAGTGACCAGGATGATCAGCTTCTGCCATCACTGTGGAAAAGATAATAACATGCTACATTCTTTCTCTAATTGAACCCAGACTGTTAATTTAATCCAAATGTAAAGTTCTGCACTGTTAGACTTTCAAAAACCCATAGAAACTCTGGGTCAGAGGCTTGGCATAGAATCATTTCTGCTCCAGAAGAGTTTAAAAAGTCATCATTGCAGTGCGCAGGATAAGGCCGCCTCTGTTCAAGTGCCCTGCCTCAGGCACAATATTAATAAGACACTTTTATACCAGTGATAAATGTCTCTGCCTTCCCCCATACCCTTGCTGTCTTCTTTGCTTGGAGGTCTCAAGTTAATGTTTTTGGTTGATGTAAAACATTCAGTGGTTGTTTAATTTAATGTAATCTTTGTTTAATTAAAATAGCAGTTTCTGTTATTGTGGGGCTTGAGAACACCACCATGCAGTTTGCTGGCGTTTTCTACTTTTGGGTGTGACCATAATAATAACAACAACTTGCCCTTCATGCAGGGTAGCGTCTCAGAACACTTTACAGTGGGGAAGCCTGACACTGAGTCGGGGGAGGGAGGAAGTCACCATGAGCAACGTCGAAGAGAAGATCTTCAGTTGTGATCTAAAAGAAGGGGAGAGGACAAAGCAGAGGAATTGAGGGAGAGCGTTGTAGTTTGTGGTTCGTGAAGCTGGAATTACAGCGTGAGAGTCAAAGGGTTTCTCTGACCCTTATACTTCCATATTATTGAAGTGATTCTCTGCAGCGTGGTGAATGTCAGTAAATTACTTCAATTGAATCGCTGCTTCCATGTGTTAACCGAGCTAGGTTAGTAGCACTCTCTCCTCTGAGTTAGAAATCTGTGCGTTAATAATAATAATAATCCTTGCAATTGATATAGTGCCTTTCACATCGTCGAGACATCTCAAGGTGCCTCACAGGATTTCCTGTAAAGTGTTTTTTGTGAGTGAAACATGGCAGCCAGTTGCACACAATGTCCCATAAACAACCATGGAGTGAGTCACCAATTTTAGATTTGGGAGATTGTTGCCCAAGACAGCTTGAAAAACTCCCTTTTCTTTTCGAATCTTTTCTCTACCCTCTTCTCGCTCCCTCCCTTCCCTCCCCTCACCCTGATCATTTCCCCCTGCTCGGGTCCTGACCCAACTGTACAGCGCCTTGGGATGTCCTCCTGACGTGAAATGCGCTCTATAAATGGAATCTTGTTGCTATTGTTGAATAGTGCCATGGGATCTATAACATCTATTTAAACAGGCAGATGGGACCTCGGTTTTAACATCTCATCCAAGGTCAATGCACCTCTGCCAATGCAACCCTTCCCCCCCCCCCCCCCCCCCCCCCGCAACTCCAGGACTACATTGGAGCGTCAGCTTAGACTAATATGGGATTTGAACCCACAATTTTCTGACTCAGAAGCGAGAACGCTAGGATGTGTTCAAGCCCCACATCAAGACTTTGAACTCACAAATCTAGGCTAACATTTAAATATAGTGCATTGTTGGAGGTGCTGCCCTTAAGGGGATAGAGGGGTGTAGGAGGGCTCGGGTGGCATATAAACACCCACAGAGTCCAGTTGAGCCAAGTGACATGTTTCCATGCCGTTATCATTAAATATAAAATCCTATAGAGCTGACGTTCTGGCTTTGATCAGGAACTCACTATGTGTGTCATCAAAGGTATGAACCAAGCATTTGTTATTATATCACTGATGCTTGCCTTGTCTTCCCAATCAGCACAAGACAACAACAACAAGATTACATTTGTATAGTGCCTTTCGCGTCGGGAGGACATTTTACTTAAAACGTAATTCAGCCCTGAAAGATCATTTCTATAAAATGGTCAGCGTTTTGTATACTTGGAATGTATTATTATTATGGAAAGTACCAGATGGAAAGTAACAAATCCAGGATATGAGAACCAAATGCTGACTCTAAATTATATCCTGCATGCTCAAACCCCGACATTCCTGACTGCCCACAACACCTTGCGGTCACTTCACTGGTTGCCTGCAGCTAATGCTGGAGTACAGCATAGATGGTTGCATGAGGATGCAATGAAGACTGGGAGTCAGGACAGAGACCATTGGTCAAAGAGAAAATGAGGAGAATTACCCAAATAAGGCATCACTACCATGTTGTGAATGACTCTGGAACATGACTGTTTTAATCTGCCTGAACAAATATTATCAGGCATCCGATGTCCATCAGTTAGAGCCCTGGGTGTCAGCATAGTGCTCTATATTGTTCACATCAGGATTTGGAGATGAATAATAATAGCCCTTGTATTCGATATAACAAGGATTATTATCACATCGTCAAAATGCCAGAAAGCACTTCACAGGATTTACCGATAGTATGGAGTCCTGTAACTCAGTGGGTAGAGCACACACCTGGGTTTGACTCCCAGCAGGGTGAAACCTTGGGCAAGTTTCCTTACTCCACATGCCTGATAATAATCCCTCAAAAAAAAATTGGTCATTTTCAATCCAAGACTGTTTGTGGGACACTGCTGTGCACAATTGCCTGCCACATTTCGCCCACAAATATATACAGTCAATTCACTTTATAGTCTATTCTGTGAAGGGCTTTGAGACGTCTAGAAGTCTAGAAGCTATATCAAATGTAGGGATTATTATTAATAATTATTAATACAGAAGAATTAGAGGAGATCTTATTGAAACATAAGATTCTTAAAGGGCTGGATAAAGTAGACACTGAGGGTCTGTCTCCCCTGGTAGGAGAATCTATAACCAGGGGTCACAGTCTTAAAATTAAGGGTCAGCCTTTTAGAACAGAGTTGAGGAAACATTTCTTCACTCAGAGGGTAGTGAATTTATGGAATTCACTACCCCAGAAGGCTGTAGATGCTCAGTCCTTGAACATCTTCAAGGCTGAGACTGATAGATTTTTAAAAAATAGAGGGATTAGGGGATATGGGGATAGTGCAGGTAATTAGAGTTAGGTCTGAAGATCAGCCATGATCTTATCGAATGGCGGGGCAGGCTCGAGGGGCCGAATGGCCTACTCCTGCTCCTAATTCTTATGTTCTTCTTATTATTATTAGTTGCCTATGTTTTCTTGTAGGCAAATGCAGCAGCCAATTTGCATAAACAGCCATGAAGTGAATTTTTATCTGGGAGATTGTTGGCCATGATACCAGGAAAATCGCCCTTCACTTTTCAAATAGTGTCATGGGATCTTTAATCCAATTTTAATGGAAAGTACCAGATAATAATAAGCCAATCTGACCAGGCAGACATGACCACTACATTTTTTAATTCAAAAATATCATTCAGGTCAAGTTTCAGCGTAAGGGATTTTGGGAGGCAAACTCCTTTTGACTGAATACAAACGCTAACTGATGTTTAATAAGGAAGGAAATATAGTGGTGAAGAGGGAGAAGTGAGAAACTTTAGGGGAAAATATGATTAAGTAGAAACTGTAGATTAGAAAATCCCTCTAGAATTATTTGCATACTTTAATGATTTTTATAGCTGTCTTAATAATAATGGAACCTGGCAGTTCGTCATTTGTCTCATTGCTGGCATAGACTTGTGGTTCACTGGTCACATAATAATAGTGATGGCTTCCTCCTGCAAAGTACTTTGAGCTGTTTCAGTGTGACAGGATTTTGTATTAAATGCAAGCATTAAAGATTTTATTCAATAGTACTGGTGCATCTGAGCAATCCAATAATGCTTATTAATGCTTAATATGAATTTGAATTGATTTATGATTCAGTTTCATAATCTTATAAGAGCAGTATTAAGAATCTTAATGAAGATAATTAGGAAATCGTAATTTAATAGCTCAAGTGTTTGTGTGTAAGATTCCCACAGCAATCTGTAAGAGGCTCCGAAAGGTGGCCTAGTGGGTAAAGGTACTAATTACTCAATTCACCACTCGGCTATATAGACTGGATAATAATATAATAATAATAATAATAATAATAATAATCCTTGCATTTGATATAGTGCCTTATCATGTCTTCGAAACGTCTCAAAACGCTTCACAAAATATACTGTGTTTTATGGGCGAAACGTGGCAGCCAATTGTGCACAATAGTGTCCCACAAACAGTTGTGGATTGAGTAACCAAATTATTTAAAGGAATTATTGTCCCCGGAAAAGGTAGTCCCAGATTCCATAGTCTCAGTCTGTGATAGTCTGTGCTGTTATCTCATCTCAGCTGGCCTCAGTGTCACTGGGAGGGGAACATCAGTCAGTGTTTCTGCTCCTGGTCATTATTCAGGTGTGGATATTGGAGTCATAGTTGAATTCAACTTGGTTGTGAATCCCTCCCCCCTTTCATGGTCAGGTGAGATGTTACACTGATGACCTGTTTGCCTGTTCAGATAGACGTTGAAGATCCCATGACACTATTGGTCATACACTTCCTGGCTGTTTGTGGGACTTTGCTTTGCTCAGATTAGCTGCTGTGTTCACCTGCAAAATACACAGTCACTAGACTTTACAGCAAATCTTGTGAAGCGCTTTGAGATGACTCAATAAAATGATAAGATTATTTAAAAAGGCTGCTTACACTAGAAGTCGAAGATCATATATGAATAATAACTAATTAAATGAGACTCCTTTGCTGGGGGATGTTGCTGATGCTGGCGGTGAATAGTTTTTTAAAAGGCAATAAAACATGAATTTCTGTTACCAAACAGATATCTTTGAGGATGACTCTATCTCTTATTTCTTGCCCTACAATCTCCCCAGCTCTGAAGACAATCATATCAAGACGGAGCCATGCAGCCTGGAAGTAGAATTGTGTTTGCAGTCGGAGCAGCTTCTTAACTCCAAACTGCTAGCAGATGTTCTACAAAAAGTAAGAATTTAATCCATTTTTGTTTTCTGTTAAACCTGTACACTGCATTATTGTCACATAACCAAAACATTGTTGAAGACCTTCTAATTGCAGGTGTTGACTTTCAAACTGGAACTTGGATAAATTCCCCAGACCCTGTGTGTTCAGTGGCTTGGCTTAGTTCCACCCTGAATTAAGGCACCTCCACTCAGGAAATGTAACTTCCTCTCGATGTGGCTGCTTACTTTCTTCTGCAAACACTGTTTTCAAATCAATGGAGAACTTCAGATACAACCAGCAATGCACTTCTGTATTGAACTAATCTGCTCACAAAATACACACGGCCACATCACATTACAGTATATCCTGTGAAGCGCTTTGAGACACCTTGATAAAAACAATACTAAACACAAGGATTATTATAACTTGCCTGGTAAAAATTTGGTTCCCTATCAATCTTTGAGACATTAAAATCTCTAGATTAAATACAAAGATTGTTATTTTATTAAACACAGAATCATTTTAACTTTCTGAGATCTGAAGAGATTATTTTTGAGTGTCTCAGTTGCACAATCCAAATCGCTGAATCTACGAAAACACAGTGAGGGAACGTATTCAGCATGAGTCCTGTTCAACGAGTATGATTAAATTGTGCTTGAAAGAAAATGGAAAAATGTCCACTATTTCTTGATGTAATGGATGGATGCTTTCTGAATCAAATCATTATTAATTTACTGGCAGTGGTAGTTTGAACACCAGGAGGCATAAAAACGCTTAATATTGTGCAGAATTGTTTAACATTCTGACATCAATCTTCAGTGGGAAGTCAGTTTTCAAGGTTCTTAAAATGAACTCGCTTCCAAATTAAGACTGAGTTGAAGAAATTTCCAAAGCAAGGAGCCTGTTAGGACTTTGGCTTGCGGGGTTAACAGGAACTGATTGGGATGTATTCCCTGCCCCCAGTGACTGCTCTACCCTTCCAGGTCCTGCCGATGAGCCAGGCTGGCTGTGCTGTCATCACCAGTGTCCCAGAATACTGCAGACCCCCTGGCTCAGGAACTGAGACCGCTACAGAAGGCATGTTGCCAGGCATGTCACCTTGGGGCCAGTTTAGCTGCAAGGAGAAGGCCCTTGCCTCAAACCCCCTCCCCGCCCCACCCCCCGCCCCCCACCCCACCGATAGCTGCATTATAAGAGATGCTGTCCTTTGGTTGAGATGTTAAACCAAAGACCCTTCGAACTGTTCAGGTGGATAAAGATCCCATAGCACAGCTCAAAACGAGAAGGGAAGCATACGGCATTGAATCCTGAGTCAGGCCTGAAGTTGGTGAGGTTTACGAAGATGAAATGTAGTGAGGAGGTGATCAGAAATGAGAACAGTGTATTTTTAATCCTGACAGAGTTATGATTGTAGCAACTATTGGCAGCTGGAGGGAAGAGGGTCTGGGAGTGCAGATACTAATACTTCCTAAAATTATACTTCACAACCCTGAGCTTGTCCTGTTGTCTTGGCATATTTGAAAGTAATGTCCTGCTGTACAGGCAGACATGACCTTGGTTTAATGTCTCATCTGAAGAATGCCACCTCCAACAATGCAGGACAACCCTAGCATTGCTTTAGCGTGTCAACCTAGACTTTATGAGTTCCTGTGTAACTTGAACCCACAATCTTCTGACTCAGAGTGCTACCAACTGAGCCAGACTGTCACACGCAGACCTTGCCGGTTCAGTTTTATTCCCCCTGCATTTTTTAAGCAAATTTCATAGAAAGTTCTGCAATTTGAATCACAAATAGGAAATTACCATTAGCGCAGTGGCTTCCAATCTGAGCAAACTGTATTTGCATTGCTGCTCATTCCATTATTATTCTACAGTGAAGAAAAGTTTGTATCAATGTTTTTGTCAGCTCTCCAAAGGATGGCTTAAAGATGGGAACCTTAACCATGTTTGTTGTTCAGCATCAGTGCTGAATCACCAGCACTTGTCACCATACTTCATATAATGGTAACCGGGGGAAGGGGGAGTGGGTTGTTCTGTTATAAACAGCCAACTAATACCAATGGTACAGTGAGGAAATGTAATGATTACAAAATACAGTTATGAATAAACAGATCTGATTTGTAGTGTGCACTGGGTCCTGAATATGTACAGTTTACCCACTGTTAAAAAGGTATACCAGCCAATGACGGTACATTATCAATGAATTTAAGTGGTCTTTAAAGTCTAACGGGGGCTAATACAGTTGTGCAGTAAATATTATCTGAAGTTAAATGTCAAATCGCGAGCAAAGATGCTTTGCAACAGGAAAGAAGTAATGTGCTGTGGTGGAAACAAGCCTATATCCTTGCAGGGAATGTTACAGTTTCCAGGTAGAAAGAAAAGAAAGCAATAAATAATAATAATACATTAGCCTTGCATTTGATATAGTGCCTTTATATTAGGACTACAGCAGTTTAAAGAGAAGTCGCTTCTCAGGGCAACCAGGGATGGGAAAGAAATTCTGGCCTCAGTGTCACTCGCATCCCGAGATGAATAAAAAAAAGTCAGAATATCTCAACATACTCATAAGTAATTGTGGTAAAGTGCAGTGATTCTATATTTGTAGAAAAATGCGGTAGCCAATTTGCACAAAGCAATGTCCCATAAACAGCCATGAAGAGAATGACTAATTTTTATCTGGAGGATTATTGATCTGACATTGGAAGAAATTCCCTTCTCTTTTTGAACATTTTTATGACATCTATAATGTCCATCTGCATAATTGGAGCCTTGACATTGTAAAAAACACCTGAAATAAATTATGATCTTAGCAATGACCCCTGTGTGCGTCACTTTGACCTTCCATCAACAGGATCTCATTTAGCATCTAATCCAAAGGACAGCACACCTCCAACAACGCAGCACTCCCCCAGCACTGCACTAGAGTGTTAGTCCAGGCTGTGAGCTCAAAATCCTGAAGCAAAATCTCAAAAGCCTGAAACCACAATTGTCTGACCCAGAGGCAATAGTGCTACCAAAATAAAGAAACCAAATAGGATCTTGTATGGTGAGAGATAGGATATCACAGGTCATTGTGACATACATGGAGGTCCCTGCTAAGATCATAATTTATATTAGGCGTTCTTTTGCAATGTCAAGGCTCCAGATATGCAGATAAATGCTTTGTAAACACCACAGTGTAGATGCAAATAAACAGTAACTAAATGGCAGTGTTTGCTCTTGATGTTTACAGAATTATAATCCGGCATACTTATCATGCCAGGAGAGAAAATAAGAAAAAGCTGAAAAAAAAACACATTATTTGAAAAATAATGGCTTTCTTATTGATTATTAGGTGCAGGAAGGATCAGGAAAAGGGATACAATTTGTTGGACTTGTGCAGCGTCAATATTCCAAGGTAAATTTGGCTGAAACTATCGCAGAGACCTTAGTGAGTAGCGACTCAAAAGAGGAAAGCAAATCTGTGGAAAATGTGCAAAATGGTGTGAATACTGATGAAAGTACAGAGAATCAGGAAAAAGAGGCTACAAATGGGGAGTCAAGACAGGAAAGAAGCCCAGAGGAGAGGTCACAATCTGAAGGAGAACAGGAACAAGTGAAAGATGAAGGACAAATCAATGGACAAGCTCTGGCAGATTCGGCAAGCGGGGAAGACAGTGGACTGATGAAAAACGAGAGCTTAGTTAGTCATAAGACGGAAGATAAAGCAAGTGATGAAGAAGGAGTTTCACTTCAAGCAGAGAAAGCCAAAGCAGCAGAGGGACTGCAGGGTGGGGAGGCAGCTGGAGGTGAGCAATCTGTCATAGAGACAAGTGAACACCCTGAGGTGGAGAAGAACCCAGGAAGCATTGAAGCAGATGAGATCACTTCTGAGTCTGATCCTAAAAGCAGGAAACATGAGGGCCAGTCGAGTACAGGAAAGCCTGAAGAGGATGGAAAGAAAACTGGAGTGGGTGAGTTGATGTCCTTGTGCCGTGCTTGGGATATTTATCTAGTGTCAATAAATTGCGAGATGTGAAATGATGATTTTCACCAGTGATAATGTCGTAAAACAGAGCAATCGAATCTGCAGAGGTGAGGGGATTATTTTAAATGAATCGAAAGTAGTCAGTGTATTGCCACAATCAGCCAATTTAGGGAAAAAATGTCTGTGCGGGTGAGAAACAATCCAAGTAACAGCTCCAACAATTGCGAATATGGCAACACAAATTGTGACAAAATAGGGTCTCGGGATATAAAGTGCATCAACAAAAACAACAACAACAAAATTACATTTATAGAGCGCCTTTCACGTCGGAAGGACGTCCCAAAGCGCTGGGCAGTCAGGTATCGGGGCCTGAGCATGGGGGAGGGGTGGGAACGGGTGAGGGAAGGCAGAGAGGTGGGAGGGAGACCAAAGGCACGGTCGAAGAGAAGGGTCTTGAGACCGGCCTTGAAGGAGGCAAGGGAGGAAGCGAGGAGAAGGGACCGTGGGATGGAGTTCCAGTTCCAGAGTGTGGGGGCAGAGAGGCTGAAAGCCCGGCCACCAATGGTAGGGCGGGTCGGGCAGGAGACATGGAGAGGGTCAGAGAGGTAGGAGGGAGCAAGGCCATGGATGGTCTTATAGGTGAGGACGAGGATCTTGAACTCGATCCTCTGGGGGATGGGGAGTCAGTGGAGTCGGGCGAGGGTGGGAGTGATGGGGTCACGGAGCCTGGTGCGTGAGAGTACACGAGCTGCAGAGTTTTGGATGATCTGCAGCTTGTGAAGGGAAGAGTTGGGAACGCCTATGAGGAGGGAGTTCCCGTAATCGAGCCTTGATGTGATGAATGCGTGGGTGAGGGTTTCGGCAGCCTGAGGGGTGAGGCAGTGGCGGAGTCTGGCAATGTTGCGGAGGTGGTGGTAGGCAGTGCCGGTCATGGTGCGGATGTGGGGGAGAAAGGACAGTTCAGGGTCAAACAAGACGCCCAGGTTTCTGACTGGCATTTTGTGCAGTGAGTCCCAATCCTGATCTGTGGGACCTCATTTCTAGCACAATTTGGCAGTTTCCTGATGAATGTCTTTTTAACATCATTGTGTTTGTGTCAAGTTTCTGTCTTTGCTTCAACAAGCATGTTGTTTTCTCAGGACATCCATCCTCTATATGCCTCCATCAGTTACTTTGCTTTTAGCTGGAAAATAAGTTGATGTTGTTTATTGTACAATACATTAAAGGATACCAGAATTATACAGATACTAAACACTTCAGCAGTCAGTCTAGAATATTGACACTGTTCTTGTAGGACAAAGGCACCTCTTACAAGACAATTCCCCAGCTTTCTTTTTTAATGATTTCCTGTCCGAAACCAGGCTGATTTTTCTGGGGGCTGTTTACAGAGATCTCCAGGTGCAGAAATAAGAAAAGATTCATATCTGATCACAGACCTTTAATGGTAATGAGGACACTCCAAAAGTTTGTAATGTTTTAGCTGGCAATAACAAACAGCATTACTTCAGATTTTAGACACATTTCTTATATTTGCATAATAAACAGCTAAAAATTTCCATTTTAATGAAAATATTATAATTAATTAATTTATAATTAAAATCCTATTAACAATTTCAGATTTTGTTGACTTAAACTTCTCACGTTGCTGAATAATAATGTTTTATGTCGTCTGCTGGAAATGCAACATCAGTCAAATGCATCTGCTTGTTGTCTTTGACAACCAATTTGTTTTTGGTATTTGCTTTCCGAAAAGCAGGCTGTAAATTCAGAAGGCTAGAAGGATCCAATTAGTCCTCTGCCTTCAACCTATAAATCAAAAGCTTTATTTGCCATCTTGGACCATAAAGACTGATCAACATTTTCATTATCAAAATGAAGAATAAAAAGAAAACGTAATAAATACCACATGCTATTAAACCACAACTGCTAAATTGCATTTAAAGTTAAAGTTTGAATGGATCTTTAACTTAAGTGTTGCAATAATAGGAAACATGAGAGCCAATCCCAGCAGATGAATGGGACATATAACAGAAATGTTTAACTAATAATAATAATCCTTGCATTTGATATACCACCTTATCATATTGTTAAGACATCCCAATACACTTCACAGAATATGCTCTAATGTGAATTGACTTTATACTTTTGCCAATAACATTCACAGTTAATTCACTTTATAGTATATTTTGTGAAGAGCTTTGAGATGTCTCAAAGACGTGATAAGGCGCTATATCAAATGCAAGGATTATTATTATTGTTATTTTGTGGAAAAACGCGGCCACCAATTGCACACAACAGTGTCCCACAAACAGTCATGGATTGACTAAATTATTATTATTTTATTTATTTATTTTTGAAGGGATTATTAACCTTTCAAAAAAAAATGTATTTTAAAATGAATAACATATTCTTGCCTTCTGTGGCTCTGGTGAAGTTTTCAAGAAAGTTTGACTCCCTACCTCGAGCCCTCCTTACTGTTTTAATGGCTTTAATGTTAAATAATTGAGAAGAGACGGCTCATATCAATGAATTCAGGAACAAAACAATTAATAACCAATGATTTATCTGTCTCAGAGTGGCAGGAATCTTTAGTAAACAGTACCTTTAACACTAGGTGCGTTACATAGAATGAAAAGGCACAGAAACAGGCCTTTCAAACAACTAGTTTGTGCCAGTGTTTATACTCCACACAAGCCCTCACCCCTCCAAATCCCCTTATTTTTTCCTCTTCATTCCCTTCTCCCTCATGTAAGTTTTAAATGAGGTTCCAGAAAAGTGAATGGGTTAAATTTACAGTCCGTGTGATCACATCAAATGTGGACTTTCCTGTTACTGTTCTCAGAGTAGCCGGGTTGGAATTCTAGTTCAGGAATTGGATTCTGCTGTTGGCTAGAAGGTTGCCATCCTTTTGGTAAACCAAACCTGAAAAATTTGGTATCTCTCTAACACTCTCCAACAGAAGACATGTTTCATGAGCTACAAATGCAACAAGCGGACCTATTCTCAGATTTCACTATTTGGAAGAGCACCGTGAAGGTGGATACAAGGAGAGATGGGTATCTACTGGTGGCCATTTGATGTGATAAATATCACATGGACTGGAAATCTGACCCCTCAGTGAGTTAGGGTGAAGAGGATGCTGATCTGAGATGAATGAATTTCCAAGATGAAGAGCAACATCTTAAAGAAAACAATAATAAAGCGAGCCCTGAGATGAAAATGAGACAGCTGTTAGAGCTGTTAAATCTTCATAAAGCACAGGGATCGATTAACTAGCAAATTGTATTTTTCCTGCTCTGTGGCTTTGATTTATGGTGCATTATTTTATTTTTATAAAGATGTTTGAAATGATGAACCAAATGTTAGTCATTTGCAGATCATAATGGCTAGAAAAATAGTTTCAAAGTACATGTCACAGAAGGTACTGCACCTATAGAACAATAAATTCAGGAGTTCAGATATTTGGCTCCATGTTAAAATGTTTAAATATATAATAGCAATAATGTAGCTAATCTAAGATATATACAAGCTATTGGCATATCCTAGAATATACAGTGTATTTAGTATTAGTGCCTGATGAAATTTAAAACTATGAAGCATAAAAATGAAAAGAAGTTTCCGACCACTATTTGTCCTTATTTATCCCAGTAAGGTCTGATTATTTTCCCATATGTTTTCCAGCATATAGGCACTGTGCATGCACAGAGACCTGCTGTGGAGGAGGGGAAGGGCCCTCTGTCACAGATATTTCCTAGAGACTAATGGCACTCGCAGATGCAATGCCATGTGCAATGTAACAGTGGTTGGCTGTGGATACAGATTAAACGTTTCCTGCGTGGACTTCAGCTGTCGGAAATACTTTTGCCAAAGATGTCGGCAAAACTCCAATTAAACTCATTAACTTGAGCCTGAATCCAATTAAAGAGGTCCCACATGCAGTTCACTGATGAATAATGCTCAGAGCTGACTCTGTGAGGATGGAGACAAAATACTGAACCAAAGAGAGGGTTTATAGTGTAAGACTGTGCTACCCTGGCCAATGTTCTGCAATGCTGAAAAAGAACAGCTTCTGAATTAAGACTGAATTTATGATGGTTTTTCATACTATCTCACATTGAAAGACAATGGTGTTAAGCCTGAGAACATGAAGTATTTGGGGCCCCTAGTGTGGATTAAACCGAGAGAAAGCAAAGGACTGTGTCCACCTGCAATGGAAGCCACCAGTGCCATCTACCAGATGAGTCAAAACCTAATATATTTTGACTGAGCGATAGATAAGTAGACGGAACTGGCAGCTCTTCTTCTATTACTGCTTTGCCAAGAGCCCTGGGGCGTGATCGACTGTACGAGCATTGAATTAAAGACACCTTAAGTAAATGCATAAATGAGACAATGCCATTATTTCGGTTTTAACATTGTAGAAATATGCTTTAAAGCTGCATAAGTTAATCCTGTTTTGTTCCTTCTTTTTCACAGAAAATGAGTTTTTTGTCCTTTTTAATAAGCCGCAAGAAAACCAGAAATGCTACAAGTACTACACTGCTACAATTCCCCTGAAGATCTTTAAAAAGGGACAGGATATTAACAGTATTGAGGCAGACTGGCTGGAACACATGACCCAGCACTTCACAAAGGGAGCCTCGCTGGTCGACGCTTTGATCTGCCTTGGAACCTTGACAGGTACTGAAACCAACCTTTTATAGAAAATTACTGTAGCTTTCTTTCCAATGATAGATTGCACTAATATTACACACTGTACAGCAATCTGGTTTGGAGATGGACTTGGTCACCCGTGTATCTGAGAATTGTGAAAAATAACAATAATAACCCTTGCATTTGATATAGCGCCTTATCACGTCTTCAAGACGTCTCAAAGCACTTCACAGAATACACTGTAGAGTGAACTGACTGTATTTTGTGGGCAAAACTCAGCAACCAGTCGTACACAGCAGTGTCCCACAAACAGTCGTGGATTGAATAACCAAATTATTATTATTATTTTTTGGAGGGATTATTATCCCCGGAAAAGTGATCCACCTATTGACTAATAACCGGGTTCCTACTTACTGCTAGGTAAACAAAGGCGTATGGAGTAAGGAAACTTGCCCAACGTTTCACCCTGCCGGGAATCGAACCCAGGTCTCTCGCTTGCGAGGCGAGTGCTCTAACCACTAAGGTGACCTGCTGTGATGTTTAATAGTTTCTAATACCAACTACTGGGAACTCTCAGAGCAAGGTGTTTGTTCGCTAGTTCTGCAATGCACAGATTCTCCACAGATTCATATTGGCAAAACACAAAGATTTACAAAGAATGTAAAGCATGGAAACAGGATATTCGGCCAATAAAATGTAAAAACTTGCACAGCCACACACAGACATAAATTGAAACCTCCAAAAATAGAATGGATTTGGGATTTTGTGAGACTATCTGGATAAAAAGAGTTGAACTTCACACTTGATAAAGGAACGAGACAATATTGCAGAGAAAATGATCCTCTATTCTTCTTGTTTCCCTTCTGCTCTGTAAAAGCAGGGTGTCAGTCAGTTCTTAGTACTCAGACCAATAATCTAGGCTTGCACTCCAAATGAGGTGTTGGTGGAACACTGCATCGTCGGATGGAGGTGCCATTCTTTGGATGAGACTTTGAACTGAGGTCCTGTCTGCCTGATCTGGGTTCTGGTGAACTTTAAAGAACCCATATCACTATTTGAAATCACAGGAGAATTTCCAATACTTCTCTGATTTGAAAGCAATTAGAGATTCGCCTCATGGTTCACGGCTGTTGGTGGGATATTGCTGTGAGCATATTTGATGCTGTGGTTCACCTACAAATACACGTCACAACACTTAATAATAAACCTCTGTGAAGTGCTTTGAGACTTTTTGACACAATAAGCCACTATATCAAATGCATAAGTTATTGTTATTATTTCTGTTATTATTATGTGTAGACTGGCCTTTGTGAAAATGTCAAACAGTTATGTAATTCACAGTGGTTTTATAGTTACTGAGTGCATAAAAACTAAAGGAAAATGGCTTGGGAGGTTTGCCAACAGCAAGGTAGTGCAATAATAGCTGCTACCCAACAAGCTACAGTTAGGTTTCCCTGGGTGCATTCCTAATGGATCATGTTGTTGATTTAGGCAAGATTCTCGTTTGCAGCAAATAAATCTCACACGTACTAGCTTACTTATTAACAGTTAGCGGTGATTTAAGTACAGGTACTTTTACAGATCCTGATGGGTTTTGGATGTAGATTTGCAGAACATACTCATTGCACGGGTAATAGCTGGCACCGCTGTCTGAGGCTTTCCCTGACAATCAGATAGAAGAGATTAAGAAGTGACGGGCTGGAGATGAGCTATATCGAGACATATGAGCACATTTGCTTTATATACATACCATTATATACACATACCATACAAGACGTACAGGATTTGTATGATAGACACACATGCTTTGTTTATTTACTTGCCCCTCTCTTTCTAAATCTGCCTTACCCCCTCACTCTCTACTCCACTTAAACTATATAAAACGCGTTTTGACTGTGCCCTCAGCTACCTCCTTCCTTTCACCTTATCTCCCACTGTGTTTGGGTTGCCACTCTTTGTCTGTGAAGCACTTTGACTCGTTCCCTATGTGAAAGTGCTGTTCAAGTCCTATCTAAGTGCAAGTTATTTTGTCTGCTGGACTCATTAGAATCCTTGAAAAATGATTTCTTACCCTTCCATTACCAGACACATAGCAGCTTGTCCTATGACTGTAAGCTGACCCACTGTAATAGTGCATGTGGGTTATACAAAGCTGTTGCTGGTCATTTCTCATCTCTCACTTGAGGTTGATGGTAAGATGGGTGTTCTAGAAGGATGAGACCAGATGGACTGAAGAGCCTTCTTCATCCAAACCAATCTTATGATCTTTGTTCACGAATCCTTTCCCAAATTTGGATTGAAAAATTAAATATGTGAAATGGTAAGTATCAACTCTCTGAAAATTGCTGTCCAACAGTCTTTAGCTATTGTCTGCTTTCAGTGTGACTCCCCTCGCGCCCCTCATCCCACTCTCCCCCTGCCAGCGTCTGTTGGACTTTAGGACACTGGTAGTTTAGCCAGACGCTGTCTGAAGCTTCACTGCTCTTGATGCACATGAAGCTCCATGTTTCATTGCTGTCACAAGGGATACTGTACTCACTCAGACAGGGATAATCGTCACATCACAACACATTTTGATCCCTTGTTTCTATCCCCTCCTTGCCTTGGTCACTGTTTCTTTCATCACTATCCCTCTGTACTCTCTGTGGAATGTTTAGTGGTGAAAGTACAATTTTGGAAGTTCTACATCCTCTTTTTCACCGCAGTTTTCTTCCCAATCACTGATCTCCCCAAGTCACTGAGAGAGTGAACTGATAAACAGCTCCCTTGCCTCTGGTTGATCTCGAGTAAGCCATTTTGAGTTGCATAAATATATGAATCCTCAATTTGGTGGCAAACTCTGGCATCTTTCTTTCTGTAATTCATCTAGCGGCTTCAAACTGTTACTGGAGTGTTGATCCATCAGTCTAGCACTTTCTGGTTCACTTCACTTCTGAGGTAAATACAATGCGATGTGAATTACAGCGAGCACTCCTTTGTGAGCACAGTTAACCTGAGGCACTGCCCTGATATCTGCTCATTACCATGTTTATTGATGTGTCGTGGCAGATCAGCCTAAAATCTGTTTGCCACTTCTTGCAAGATATCTGAGCTGTTGGTTAACAGAAGCTTGAATCTGAAATCTGAGATCCATGTCTCTTGTATCTTGGTGCATCCACTCCATCCAATAGCACATATCAGCCACTTGAAATTAGAATTATACCTCGCAAGAGGGGTTTAAGTTAACAACGCACTTTAATCCATTTGGACTCATCGTTCCATAGCACAGGACAACACAGTTTGACATGAATAAACCATATCTTAAAATTGTACAGTCATCAAAAAGCATTGTTTGATAAGATGTTAGTAATATTTTGTAAATTAGAAAGAGTGCTTGTTAAGCCCACATTACTAGCTCAATCTTTAATGTGTTAAGGTGCTTTCTATACAACACAGATTATCCTGAAAACAAATGAAAACACCAAGAGTGCATGGAGGTTCTTCAGTTAATTGTAATGGAAGTAGAGCACCGGAATAAACTTTTTTTGACATTTGTGAGAGCTGTGATGCATTATTTTATGATTAATATAATAATAACATAGAGAAATGTAAATCACCAGTTGAAGGGTTGGCAGATACACAGATATTTGTATGGTAATTACTTTTTTGACGTTCTGCACACATATGTACTGACAAAACATATTTTATGTTTGAACAGATTCGGCATCAAAGTCAGTGGATGGGCTGTTTATCTTTCAAGAAATATCTGAGGGCAAGTGTGAAACCTACGATGCAATAGTTGTAGAACAATGGACAGTGATTAATGTAAGTTGGCAGTGGGCTGAAAGGAGCTTTCCATTGTAAACCTCTACACTGAACTGTTAACATCCATCTGCTTTAGACTGGCCAGGTCCATCATTTCTAAAATACAAGCACGATAAAAACTAAACTCCAATCTCCATGTCAGCTTGACAGACATCCATTTATAGGGAGATCTGATATTGGTGAACCCCTTTCAAATCCTATTGCGAATTCCATATTTTCAACCCTAATATGTTCATAAATCCATATGGAGTGTAGAGACCTCTCAAGCGAAAAATATAATTAATATTGTTCTAGGAACACAAACTCTTCTATAATTCCCAATATACTATTGGGATATCTGAAAACAGTTTGTCTATATTTTTACCTGTGTAAAATATATATATATATATATATATATATACACTGAGAATACAGACAGTTAGGAACAAGTTCTATTGCAGTCTTATCTACTGTATTGTTAATATGCATCTTTCAATCAAAATTACCTTAGCATTGTTGAAATGATTACTTCAAGAGACAGATTTAGTCTACCTGAGCTTTTACAGAAGTTGAATATTTTAAGGTTGCTTCTTGTGGAGATTTTATTTAGGTCATATGAAGTTCAGAGCTCCACCTATCTATGCTTTTAGACAATATGAATAATTAATTCACTCTGTGTGAGTGCAGCTTTCAAAACAAACTAGAGGTTTGTTCGCCAACATTAAGTGGCGGCTCAGCAAAACCACTTGAGCTTCCTGTTGTGCACCCAGATGTGAGACATGTGCATAAGTATACTAAGCAGTCAATACAACTCATTTTACTTTAATACCAAATCCAAAGTCATGAGAACCATGAGGGTAATCAAAGATTGGTGCTGGTGGGGAAATATTGTGTTAAAAATATGTTAGAAATTGAATCTTCATGATCTAGTGCATAATTGTTAAAAGATTGATGTTTGCGCAAAAGATTGCTTCATTGGTTAGCCTCCACAGTAAACAAAATCAGATCAAGTGGTAAATTAATAATACATTGGAAATAATTTCCCTATGGGGTCCTGAAATGTAGTGGTTAGCGCACTCGCCTCGCAAGTGAGAGGACCCAGGTTCAATTTAGAGGCAGGGCGAAACCTTAGGCAAGTTTCCTTACTTTGCATGCCTCTGTTTAACTAACAATAATTAGGAACCCGGTTATTAGTCAAGTAGTAGAGCGCCAATAATTCCTTCCCCCAAAAAGTTTGTTTGCTCAATCCATGATTATTAGTCGGACACTGCAGTACACAAATGGCTACCGCATTTCCCCCACAAATACGCAGTCGATCCACTTTACAATATATTCTGTGAAGCACTTTGAGACATGAATGATATGATGAGGTGCTATATCAAATGCAAGGATTATTATTATATAATTATAAGTTGGAGAAGAAGTGAATATTCTGAAAACCTTCACAAATAAAAAATCTTCTTGTGGTCCAATCCCTCTCAACTTCCCAGAGAAAATTAGGGATGTACATTATTTTTAACATATAAAAGATAAGGAGCTGTTTCATGCCCTATTCACACCCCTCCATCTGGTCCACATTCCTGTGTCATATTTCAAGTACCGAGGAGTACTCAATCCCAGGACTGGTGCTCCCTTAATGTTCATCCAATTTCATTAGTACTGAGTGATGTTGGTTCATCTCTCGAGTCAGACTTATTTTTAATGACAGATAAATGTTTCCGTTCCATTTGAACATTGTACTTCCCTTCGCCCACAAAGTACACAGTCACTCCGTTTAACGTTAGCCTGTGAAGCACTTGGAGACATCTTCCTGGCATGAAAGGTGCTATATCAAATGCAAAGATTATTATTATCTTTATTATTGTAAAGCATATCTGAGCTAGTGATAAACGTTGGAAAATGTACTATTGCAAGGTTGATACTGTACTGTGGTGTACAGTACCACATCTCCTTGATATGTGTTGACAGAAAAATATCAATCTAACAATATCCAGGCTCCTGTGATTCTTTATTTGGTAAAGGCACTGCCTGATCACTAAATCATATGGACCAGAAGATCTGATCTAACAGATGAGATAGCAGATAGGTTATAATTTACCTTAGTACCCCCAATTAGGGAGAGAGAGTCAGGAAATTCTCTTCTGATTGCTATCTTGATATTCATGTGTGGACAGTGGTTGTGGACAAAATGGGCTTGGGTGTACATGGCTACTGTGGTCAAATAGCATGCTCACTCTAAGGCTCACTCAGGAATAAAGGTCATTTTGGAGAGTTATTGCCACTCTGCGAGCTGGACTCCAGTGGAAGGAGAATGTGTCAGACGCCCACAGGAAATGAGAACCGGGGAGAAAACAACTCTATCAAAAGTCTAACAATGCATCATTAGATCAGCTCTTGTTCCAGTCCAGTGCTTTATATTGCTTCAGACAACAAAATAATCATGATCCTATAACTATGAACGCGTGTCTCTGATTACAGTGTGGAAAGGAAGAATTCAAGCAAACAGATTGAGTGTTAGATCTTCACAATTGACCAAATACGTTTCAATAGTTCAGAGACCCTGAATTACAACTTGTCTTAGTTTGCAGATCATTTTGCCTTAAATCTTATGATGACACAGAAGTCTGGCAAATATTTCAATTCAGTTTTAAATTGGTAGGTGTTCTTCCTGCTAAGACCAGGTGGAATTTTGGGCTTCGGGGAGGAAGTCTTACCATTGTAAACTACTGAAGTTTACATTCTTGTCCACAATATCAGCCATTGGGAGAGCCGTCCATTAGATCTCTGAGGTTCCATAGAGAAAGTGAGCAAGTGTCAGAGGCTTGGAAACAGATCACCTGCAAACTCTCTTGTCTGGAGAACATTAAGGAAGTGCTTCCTGTGAGTAGGTGATTTATCTGTCACAGGGTTCAATAGTTGAAAGAATGAATGTTTGTTACTCTGTGCGGTATATGGTACTTGTTAAGTGCAGTGTCAGGCAGAGGGATTAGAACCACATAGAGGGATGCTACAACTGCAGCGATACAGAATCAAAAGGAGAATAATCACAAACAGAAACCGGAGGGTTATTGTGCAAAGTGGAGAGCTGTGCTACAGAAATCTGACTGCAAAAACTGCAGCTGAATCGTATTCTGAATGTTTCTATGTCTGTATAATAGTCATTAAGTGGGTTTTTATTGGTATCACATCTAACCTTATATTTTTAAGGGATAGTAATTTTTAGGTTTGTCTGTTATGGAGCGCCAGAAAATAAGATTTAAACCAACAATGAAAGAACTAACTTTTGTAGGGAAAAAGTTATTTGGTAAAAGGGGATGCTCTATTTTAGATATCTTAAGTACAAGCTTAGGGTTTAATCGATAAAAAGAAAGCATCATTCTAGATCTACAACAACAAATTGCATTTATATAATGTCTATATATAACGTCCAGCGCCTTTGGTTGTCAGGAGGACATCCAAAGGTGCTGGACAGTTGAGGTTTCCACCCGAACTGGGGGTTGGATTCGGGAAGTATGAAAGCCAAGGTGATGGAAAACTGACTGCTGAAGACTCAACCGGCAACGGAAAACCCAAACTGCCTGCTCCCTCCACTCAGTCTTGGTACTGTGGGCAATATGGAAGCTGGATTGATGTATAGAATGCAGGGAGAGGAAAGAGTGATACTGGGAAGTAATAAATTATTCCAATACCTTGGAGAAGAAAGGGTGTTGGAGATGGCATGATAGTTAGGGAACAGAGATGGGTTGGAAGGTATCTTGAAGAGGGGATAATGACAGCTGTTTTGAAGCGGATGGGAACTGTATCAGTGGACAAAGAGAGGCTAATGATGTCTGTTAGCAGGGGGGCAAGGAGGTGAAGCTGGGAGGTCAGGAGAGGTGTGGGGATGGGGGCAAGGGAGCATGTGGTGGGCTTCATTCGGGAGATGATGGAGGAGAGAGAAGAGGGAGAGACAGGGTTGAAAGTTTGGAGGGAGGGATTGGTGGAGGCTGTAGGGGGAAGGGGTGACAATCGTGAAGAGATGGTGTGCTTGTCATGGATTGAGACTCATTTTATTTCAACATTTTAATATTTCAACCATTTAATGTGGTTGTATTACTGATAATTTGATAATAGTGATAATACTGATGGTTGTATTACTGATGGTTTGAGGCCACAGAGCAGATATCTCTGTAACTGTCACATCCTGTTGGACACTTAAAGATTGACTGATAAAATGATTGTTTTTGATCTATTTTTCAGACTAGTAAACAATCCGAAGATTTTTATTTTGTTATTTAAAAGTTTACTGATTTGACGAATGACAAATTCTGTGTCTAATAGGGCTGAGACAATACAATATTAATCAAATCCAATACAATAGTAATCAAATCAAGCAATGGTCTCTTACACGTTCAGTGTGGCAAAAAAGTACTGATCAGACCGAGAAAAAAATATTTTTTGAGCAGCTTATCTAACTCCTTAAATTATCACTATGGTGATAATATTAATCATCCTCATAATCATCATTATTAGCATCATCCTTACATTTGGAATAGTGCCTTTCACATAAGTAGGGTGTATCAAAACACTTCACAGGATGTACTGTAAAGTGGAGTAACTATGTGATTTGTGGGCAAATGTTTGGCAAAAGCCAATTTGTGCAAAGCAATGTCCTACAAACAGCCATGAAGTGAATGACCAATTTTATTTGGGTGATTGTTGGCCAGGACACCGGGAGAAACTCCCTTCACTGTTCAAGCACATTTCGAGCACTCATATAGCACATTACATTCCAGTGCTTGATATCACACCTATGCAAATTCTCAAAGAACATTTTGAAATTACTCATTCAGTGTAAACTAATATGCTCTTTTGCAGTGACACTTCTCAAGTAGTAAAATGAAGTTGATACTTGATATTATTGGCACATGCACAGCCATAAACACACTCACAGGGGTATAAATCTCAGGAACTGTGCTAGTGTATGTAGGTTATAATATTCTCTGCTTTCCTGTGGTAAAATGCACAACACTCTATGGACACTTCAACCAAACATCCCGTTTCATTTGTCTCAACTCTCACTACGTTGTTTTTGCATGAGCCCCAGGCGATTCAAGACTCTACATCTGGATTATATAAGAAGGATTCAACTATATTTTTTACATTGGTGTAATCCTGCGTATTTGTTCCCAAAATTACATGTGATTTAAAATCTTACCCTAATGAAACTTCTCCAAGACAGGTCGAACAGGCTGGAGAACAGATTGTTAATGATAAGTGGAGAATCTACCTCAGTTCTTTCAATGGCAATAAACTTCACTCTTTTGGATAAGCTTTGTATGAATTGTCAAAACTAAGATAAGACAAATGCATAATGTGACCTGTAAAACATTCCTTCCCACTGTGATCAAAGTAAACTATGTATAAAGTACTGTGCAGCCAGACTGATCTGAACAGTATCACCAGATCCCATTGTTTGAAATAACACAGTCTCCTTTTCCCCTTGTTCCATGTTCAACTTTGTAGTATAATGTAATATTTATGGCTAACGTAATTCGAAAGTATCCTGAACTAGTATTATATTTTGATAAAGGTACAAAATAAGCAGCAACAAATTCAGCATCTGATAGAGATAGATAGATTAAGGTTCTGAGTAAAACTCTTCGTCGGAACATATGTTACAGATCAGCAACTCAGTAAAATGTGGGATTGTATTTGCGTTCCACAGCTGCATGGCACAGTGCCACTCAGCTCTTACCAAAGTTAACTTAATAACAGCCGGTAAGCACTATAAACTGTTGCGAGAATGATTCTCAGATAACTAAGAAATGTAAACTAATGCCAATAGTTATCTAAGTACAAAACTAGCATTGTCATTAATAACAGAAATTAATCCGGCTAAAATTCACAGCCTCTTTTTTTTTCTCTGCAGGGAGTGGAGGTGAAAACAGATTATGTTCCTTTGCTGAACTCTTTAGCTATCTACGGCTGGCGGTTAACCTGCGTGCTTCCTACTCCCATTGTAAAGAGAGACAGGTATGGATGGCATTTTGAGCGGGACTCAAGCAGTTTACTAAATTGAGGCAGCCTGCTGTTAAAATGCTCTGTTTCTTACTACTTCATGGAATACTAGCTCAGTTGACGTAGTGCCTTATCACAATGTCAAGACATCTCAAAGCACAGGATTTACCTGCAAAGTGTAGTGCCTGTGTATTTTGTAAGGAATCGCAGCAGCTAATTTGTGCGCAGCATTGTTCCACAACCAACTAATGAAATGTGCAACCAATTTTATTCTTTTGTCTTGATAATGGGAATCCCGTCCTAAAGGTACAACAAAAACACATCAGCATATGATAGATGTTAATGACTCTCCTGCATAGGTTTAGGATACTGTACTCAGTCTCTGTTCTTTAGTCAAAGTTCAGGTTTAAGGAACAAAGCTGAAACAGCAGAAGTACTGTAGATTGCTTTGGCTCGTTGAAAGATATGCCATTTCCTTTTACCTCTTCAGCTTTCCTCCAATGCAGCAACATCTGCTGTAACTCAGGAAGATATGCTACACTCTGGTATTCACAGTTCCTGTGTTATCTGTTATCTCACGCAAAAGTATACAAGAAAAGATAACAGGAAAGATGTTATACCCCAGCATTGTATTAGTAGCATCTTTCACTGCAGTGAAGATAATAATTGGCTATCTGAGTCATAATGTCAAGAGAACTAAATAAACAACAGCTTGCATTTCTATAGCGCAAGTTCACATGGGGTAACGTCTGGGAACACCTCATGGGGATGGGGACACTGAGCAAGGGAGAGGGAGCTGGCCATAGGCATGTTCAAACAGGTAGGATTTGAGGCAAGACTTCAAGACAGAAAGAGAGGGCAAGAAAAAATGGTAGAGGGAGGTAATTCCAGGGTTAGGACATAGAACTGAAGGCTTGGCCACTAATAATGGCATGGATATAGCGGAGGACATGCAGCAAGCCTGTTAGCTGAGTGGAAGGGACGGGTGCAGGAGTGGAGTAAGAGGAGACATTTCAAAACATTTGAAGACATTTAGTTTAGTGATACTTCGTGAATTTACCAACCTTGGCGGTGTGAGCGTACAGTAGGACTTCCTTATCTATATGCTCCCTCTGGGTGATGTCATCCGCAGACACCGGGTAAACTTCCACATGTTTGCGGATGACACACAAATCTACTTTGCCTCCTCCAGTACCAACTCCAGGTCCGCTGATGTTCTATCAGCTTGTCTGGCAGACATCAAGGCCTGGATAAGTGTAAACTTCCTGCAGCTGAATGTGGACAAGACGGGAGCCATACGCCTTGGCTCCCGTCAACGTCTTCACTCCTGCGGATCTAAACTCCTCAACCTCCTTGGGCTCTCCCTCAGACTCACCAAACCAGTGCGCAACCTAAGTGTCCGGTTTGTCCCCCAACTGTCCTTCTTCCCGCATATGGGGTCCCTGACCAGGACCGCCTTCTTCCACCTCCATCACATTGCTCGCGTCAAACTGTACCTTACCCCAAATGCAGCCGAAACCCTTGTGCATGCATTTGTCACCTCCCGCTTGGATTACTCCAACGCACTCCTCGCTGGTCTCCCCAGCTCCAGCATTCACAAGCTCCAGCTCAGTCAGAACTCTGCTGCCCGCATACTGACCCAGACCAAACTCCATACCCACATCTACCAGTTCTGGCCCAGGCTCCTCTGGCTCCCCATCGCCGAACGGATCGACTTCAAGATCTTCACTCTCGTGTTCAAATCCATTCACTCCCTGGCACCTCCCTACCTCTCTGAACTCCTCACTCCCGAATCCACCACCTGGTGCCGCTGCTCGACTGGCACCTGGTCATCCCTCGCACCCTCTGCCCCACCATCAGACGTCGTGCTTTCAGCCACTACAACAACAACAATAAAATTACATTTGTATAGCGCCTTTCACGATGGGAGGACGTCCCAAGGTGCTGGACAGACAGAGTTTCGGACCCAAGCTGGGGATCGGGATCGGGGAGGATGGAGGGCAGGGAGGGGAAGCAGGGTGATCGAAAGCACAATCGAAGAGGAGGGTCTTGAGATGGGTCTTGAAAGAGGCCCCAAAACTCTGGAACACTCTCCCTCAATCTCTCCGCCTTGTCCCCTCTCTCCCCCCTTTCAAGTCCCGCCTGAAGACTTTCCTGTTCGACAGTGCTTACAGCCACTTCCCACTCCCCCCGGCTTGGAGTCAGGCTCCGCCACTGTTAAGCGCTCTGAGATGCGTGGAGGGTGCTATATAAGTGCAAGTTGTTGTTGTTGGGTGCTTAATCATTCAGTACAAAAAACGCATTATTACTTCACATTGTCAAGGTTAGTAAATGTATGGACAAACAGAGAAAATGATCCACTTGCAAAGTGGATAAAGTTAGCGATAATCAGTCATTTTACAACATTGGCTAAGGAGATTTGCATATTGGGAAGTGAATAATTAAAATCTGTGGGAACATGCTGAGTATGATAGATCCTATTGTTGTAATTGAGGTGAATGTCACTCAATAACCTTAAAGTGATTATGACATGTGCAGATATTATGACCCATTAATAACATGGAACGCAATGGCCGTTATAATAATTATCCTTGCATTTGATATAGCACCTTATCACGTCTACGAGATGTCTCAAAGTCCCTCACAGAATATACTAAAATGAATTGATTGTATATTTTGTGGGTTAAATTAAACCTACTTCCAAGGAAAATAGACCGGAACTAAAATAATAATAATAATTAATAATAATAAATAAATCCCAATAAACTTCCTGTATCAGTTTTGCTCAATCAGCAGTTTTCATGTCTCTGGATCAGAAGGTTGTTCGATCGATTACTGGATTAGGAGTTGAGCTCATTAGCTACACTGATCTCCTCCAAGTGCAATACTGGAGGAATGCTACACTGTTAGAGGTTCCTCAGATGAGATGTTGAAACATCTTTCTCTTCAAATCCTATGGCTTTATTCAAAAACAATAAAAAATTTAATTTATATAGCACCTTTCACATCAGGAGGATGTTCCTCAGCGCTGGATAGTGAAGCACCTGAGCTGGGGTTTGGTATTAAGAGGGATGGAGTACAAGAGGTGGGAAGTTGACCGAAGACACGGTCAAAGAGGAAGTTCTTGAGACGGGCCTTGAAGGAGGCAAGGGAGGGAGCAAGTTGAAGAGACTGTGGGATGGAGTTGCAGAGGGCGGGGCAGAAAGGCTGAAGATCACCGACGGTGGGGTGTGCAAGGCTGGGAACATGGAGCAGACTAGTGCCTACTGAACGGAGGGAGCGGACAGATAGGTAAGGTTTTAGCAGGTCGCAGAGGTAGGGAGGGCAAGACCGTGAAGGGCTTTAAAAGTGAGGATGAGGATTTTAAATTCGATCCTCTGGGGCAGGAATGGCTAATCTGCGGTCTGTATGACTTCTACTCATGTGTAATGGGAGGGCCCATGTGGGTTACCCATCCCTGCTCTGGGGGTGGAGAGCAGGTAGAGAAAGGTGGGGATGGGGGTGATAGACTCATGGAGCCTGGTGCAGGAGAGGACACAAGCTGCAGAGTTCTGAATAATCTGCAGCTTGTGGAGGGAAGATTTTGGAAGTCTGGTGATCAGGGAGTCAGCACAGCCAACCCTCGACGTAATGAAAGCGTGGATGAGGGTCTCGGCCACCTAAAGGGAGCCAGGCAATGTTGGGGAGGTGGGGAAAGGCAGAGCGGGTCATGGCAAGGATGTGGGGTTTAAAGGACAATTGAGGGTCGCACAAGATGCCAAGGTTCTGCAGTGTAGTGAAAGAATTTCTCTTAGTCCCCTGGTCAACAATCCTCCAGAATGCTCGATCACTCCACTGTGCCTAAACTGGCTATCTCTTTTTTTTACAAAAACAGTTACTGTGCATGCTAACAATTATTGTGAAGCAAAATTTCTGACATTATAGGCACTATAAAAAAAATAACTTTTTCTCTCCAGAGCATATATTTAAAAAGAATTATTAATGCTTGAGAGTGATTTCAAATCATTATCTTAGATGATGGGTCAGTGCTTAATTTATGACGTCATGTGAATCCCTGAGGAGATAGCTGTCTTGCCATTCTTCCAATTAACCATGTTTCCCTTCATATTCCTTATAATTAACATATAATTAATGTGTCGTCTTGGCTCACATGATTGATAGAACTCTTGCCCCTGGAGAAGAAGGTGTGGATTCATTCCCTATATCAGAACTTGCTGCTCACAATCGACGCAGACACTCATAATAATAATAATAATAATAATAATAATAATAATAATCCTTGCATTTGATATAGCGCTTTTCATGTCGGGAGGACGTCCCAAAGTGCTTCACAGAACACACTGTAAAGTGAATTGACTGTATATTTGTGGGCGAACGCGGCAGCCAATTGCGCACAGCAATGTCCCACAAACAGTCGTAGATTGAAAATGACCAATTTCTTATTGTTTTTTGCTTTGGAGGGATTATTATTAGGCGTGTGGAGTAAGGAAACTTGCCCAAGGTTTCGCCCTGCCTGGAATTGAACCGAGTGCTCTAACCACTGAGCTATAGGGCTCCACTCCACTCCACTGACACTCCAGTATAGTTCTGGGGGAGTGCTGTGTCACTGGAGATGCTGTCTTTGGAAGAGCAGTTAAACCAAGGTCCTGGCTATCTGTTCATGTGGACATTGAAGATCCAACGGCATTAATAGGAACGTGATTTTCTCATCAATCCTTCAAATTAATTGGTTGCTCATCCCATGGCTGTTGTGGGACCTTCCTAGCACAAATGGAAGGAATATATCACTCCAAAAATAGTCACTATTAGTGACAGTAATTGCTCTGCAGTGCTGTTTGACCTGATATGCAATGACATTTGAAAGTTACAGCAAGGAAACGGGCCATTCGGGCTAACACAGTGCCACATGAGCCTTTTATTCCCCTCTTCCATACCCCTCTATTCATCTCTCCTTGTGTATGCAAAGTATGAAGTTTCCTCTTTAATTAGTTGATGCTTTACGCTTCAATCAGAGCTTCCAGCAGTAAGTTCCACATTCTCATTACCCTCTCCATGAAGACGTTTCTCCTAAGCTCCCTTTTAGATCTATATTTATATTCCCTTGTTATGGACTGAGGAACAAGTGGAAAAGCCTATTCACACCCTCCTCATTGAATCGTTGCATGATTTTAAACATCTGTATCAGATCCCCTCTCAATTTTCATTAGTAAAGCTCTAATATTGTGCAATGAAAGACAAATTCTTCTTATCCTGAGTACAAAAGGCTTACTGCTTGTGTGAATGTAAAAATAGATGTTGGTATTTAATTGATCTTTAATACCATGGTAACACGTGTTAAATATTACAGATAAGCAATGTTGTCAGTTAAAATCTGGAAGGGAAGCCTGTCTCCCTGATGGACTGCTGGGTAAAAGCATGTACCAGTGACCACTGGGTCATGCAGACCAGAAGGTTGCAAGTTTCCCACTCTGCTCTGAGCCAGCTGATTTTAGCTGAGGGAATTGTATGGAGCTCGATGAATGGCCTCAATACCTCTGGATGGTGAGGGAGAAAATTAAACATAGTTTCTTCCCATATTTGAAAAGAGAAGGGCGTTTCTCCCCGTCCTGGCCAATAATCCCCCAAATTAAATTAGTCATTTACTTCATGGCTGTTTATGGGACGGTGCAGGGAACAATTTAGCTGCCACATGCCCCCGGATAGTCTCCACACTTTACAATACTGTGTATACTATGCAGCACTTTGAGACATTCTCTTGACATGAAAGGCATTTTAATAAATGCAAGGATTATTTATTTAATAAATTCCATCTGGAATCCTCCAATTTACTGCAATGAGGCTAATGGTTATACTTATTATGAGCATGATTTAGAAGATATTGATCAAATGATAATAATAATAATAATCCTTGCATTTGATGTGGTTGAGAACATTTCTCAAAACTCATTACAGGATTTACTATGAAGTATAGTGTCTGTATTTTGTAGGCAAAATGATGATGTACCAGCACTGTGTTGATTCATTTTGAATAGGTTAATGATCTAACAGATTATTTTAAGATTAATGTTTGTAAATTGCTCAACTGAATATTAATTTACTGATGTCTTAAGTCAGTGGTTTAACACAAATCTTTGCAAAAGTTGCATGAATAGCTGACACAGGCACAGGACGTTGACATTTCCCCAACAACAGGCATGAGAACACAAATGGGGTTGTGTTACAGAGTTCTTACAAATTTTACAGTGTCAGCTGCTCTTTTCCAATTCTCTTCAAAAAGAGTCTGTGGTTAAAATGCAGTTGGCTTGGTCTGTCTGCCATCACATTTGTTGCCAGTGAAAAATATTGCTTAGGAGCTGATATGTTCAGTGTTTTAAAACTGAAAAGCTATTGAAATGGAGCACCAAATGAGCCAAAGGAAAGCGAAAAAGATCAGAAAAGTGGTGTGAGGAGAGGGTTGGGTGATGACAGAGAACCTTTAAAATGCTTCTTATTCATTTGTGGTTGCTTGAACTGAGGGACATGTAAGAGTCATAGGAATGTATAGGACTGGATGAAATCAATAGAGTCCATCTGTTCATAAAGAAATATCTGTATATGATAGTGTTTATGCGATTTGTGTTTTGCAGCGAAGGGAACCTTGGTACAAAGCAGATTGTTTTTCTTCAGAGACCCTCATTACCCCGCAAAGAAAAGAAGAGAGAGTCAAAGGTAAATGGCCTAACATTCCTCTTTTTGTTTTCCTTGGCAGCAAGTGCAGCTTCACAGTAATTCAGCACAGCAGTAAATTTGTATGGGAAACTGCTTTAAAAGTGTGTGTTTTAAATCTGCAGGGTCAGCACATTAGTGTTTAACCCTGTTGAGTTTAGAGTTTAATTGAAGCATGAAGGTTGCAGCAATTGCAAATCCCTTTCTCCCCTTTATTAGAATCAGGATCTTATTCAAGTGACTGTCAAGAGGACTATTTATTGTAGAGGCAGAGTGGAGCCAGGACAGACTCTGCTAATATTTATTGCTTTGATTTTTTTTGCTATATCTTGACAAATAGATAAAGGGTCAACAAATATTCCGGCGTGGCAAGAAGGCCTTGCCCCTTTAATTGCTGGAAATGAACTTTTTCCCTTGACTTCTTGATTGTCCAGAGTGTGGGAAAACATATGTAGTCTGGCAGTGATATATTCAAGATTCACTATACGGTGTATTGACTGCTTATTTGTTAGGCAGCTAATTTTTATGCACAGCTATTTCCCGCAAACAGCCATGAAGTGAATGACCAATTATACTGGGGAGGATTGTTGGCCAGGACACCGGGAGAAACTCCCTTCTCTTTTTCAAATCGTGCCATGGGATCTTTAACATCCACTTGAAGAGGCAGACAGGACTTTAATTTAATATTTTATCTGAAAGATTGCATCTGCAACAAGGTGGCATACTCCAGCAACGTATCGGAGTGTCACCTTATATTGTGAATTCAAAGTTCCAACGTGGCTTGAATCTGCAAGCTTCTGACTAAGAGGTGAACTATTATCCTTGAGGATAATAGTTGTAATATTGATTTTTTTTAATGAGACAAAAATTTTGTTTATTAACATTTAATAATATTATTATTAAATTAACATTTCAGTGCCTTGGGACATCCTCCCGACTTGAGAAGCTCTCTATAAATATAATTTTGTTGTTGTTGTTGTAACATGTTTGTATAAAAAGCTGTTTAAAGGAACATTATTAATATTATACTATAGGTCTACTGTACGCAACTAAAATCAATTAATGATTAAGGATAAATTATGACTTTAACCTTTTAGATTGATCTAATTGTTGGAGTTACACCCTGATGTTTTCAGTTAAGTATCACCCTGGCTCAGTTGGTAGCACTCTCACCAGTGGGTCAGAAGGTTGTGGGTGTGAACTCAAATTTGGCTTATCTGACACTCCAATGCAATGCTGGGGGAGTGTTGCACTTTCAGAGGTGCCATCCTTTGGATTAGACGTTAAACTGAGGTCCCATTTGTCTGGATGTTCAGATGGACTTTAAAGATCCCATGGTGTTATTCGTAGAACTAAACATAAAACGTTACTGCATAGAAATGTGCCAATTAATCTGTGCTAATGTTTATACTCCACATGAGCCTTCATGCCTCTCAATTCCTTCTTCCAACCCTTCCTTTTCTTTCTCACTAATGTATGCATCAAGTTCCTCTTAAATACTTATATATTAAAATATTTTAAATGTTAAATTATTCTAAAAGAGAATGATGGAGTTCCACTTTCCTAGCCCAGCAAACCCTTGGATGAATTGACACTTACAAAGTAGTACTTATAAAGAATGTACAGCACGGAAACAGGCCTTTCGGCCCAACCAGTCCATGCTGGTGCTTATATTCCACACAAGTCTTCACCCATTCCTTACTCTTTCCCATACCCTTCTATTCCCTCTCCCTCATGTGAAAGTATAGCTTCCTCTTGAATGCATTTACACCATCTGATTCAACCACCGCTGCAAGCAGTGAGTTCCACAATCTCACTACTCTCTGCGTGAAGTAGTTCCTCTTAAAATCTCTTTTGTATCCCCTAGTCGGTATCTTAAATTTGTGTTCCCTGGTTCTGGACTCCCCAACCAGTGGAAACAGCCTATATGGTGATTCACTTCAAGGTTCTCTGTGGGACACTGCAATACAGAAATTGGCTGCTATGCTTCCTACAAATCTGGAGGTACAACAATTATCAATGAAGTGCTCTGAGATACTTAGTTTTCTAAGCCCTTTGGCAAATCTAAAGGTTTATTATAATATAATTGTCTATGCAATTGTTTGGCCACTGAAAGAAACTCCCCTCTCTTTTTTGAACAGTGTGCTATCATCTTTAAGATCATGATACAATATTCAAAAAAGAGAAAATGGAAAAGATAGCATAAGAACGTATTATGATGTATTTTTTCTAGGCTTAAATAAAATCCAATACAGTCATCTTGCAATACAATCTCCCAATCACTATAACTAACTTAAATGTAAGTTATTAATACCATTTAGAAATGGCTTTGAGGAGAGTGCTCCTCGATCATTTTGAAAATTTAGTGATGCTTAAGGAATGGAGAATGGAGTTTAGTGGTAGATAACCTCAATGTAATGCGTATACTCAGAATGAAGCCCATTCAGCGATCTATTCAAACGTGCAAATCTTTGCTTGTTATAGAATCATACAATTCTACAGCATAGAACGAGGCCATTCGGCCCATCGTGCCTGTGCCTGCTCTTTGAAAGAGCTTTCCAATTAGTCCCACTCCACTGCTATTTCCCATAGCTTTGCAAATTTTTGCTTTCCAAGTAAATATCAAATTGCTTGTATGTTATCAATGCTTTTATATTCCAACACCCTTTTATAAAGCCCAGGAGCCCATTAGCCTTTTGGGTTGCTTTCTGGCCCTGGAAATTTGCTTTTAGCAAGCTATTTATTTATATTTTAAAATCTTGTTATACATCCACTGCGCCCCCCCCTCCCCCACACCAGCCTCCCGCCTCCCCCACCACCCTACCCCCACACACCACCCCCTCCTCCCCCCAAACCACCTTCTCTGCTTCCCCACACCACCCCTCCCCCAAACCACCCTCCCCCCTCCCCCAACACCACCCTCCAACAAGCAAAATTTGTGTTAATAAGGAATCTTTGCGGCCAAAACACACAGAATTTTGGTGTTTGGCTTGGAGAATTCAGGAGTAGTCCACTTGATCATTAAAAGTTCATGTTTTGAGTTGAGGAAACCCACAGAAGATCCACCACAGAAGATCAACACTGAGACAGCACTATTTAACAAGGAAGGAACTTACAGCACAAAGTAAGGCATAGAATTTACAACATTAAAAAGTCCTTGTGTCAGGGTCTAACAAAATGGTTGTCCTGGAGGGGAGCAAACCACTCAAACAAGAGGGAGGGGTGTCTTTCTTCTTGTAGTTAAACAATCCTTGAATAAGAAAAAGAATGCTCTGAAACTATTGCAATTTTTTTTTGTTCCTGCTTTAACCAGCTTTTGCTGAGGTGCGAACCACATATTGCAACAGCAGAAGTACATGTGCAATACAGATTTGTCAGCAATTCCATCATCAGAATTGTTTTCCTCGCAGCACCACCTCAGAACTATGTGGCAGACTTTAATCCTTTCCACTCCAGAGAGGCCCAATGTTACTTCATATGGATTCAAATCTCATAGGGACCACATGAGTCATACAGCCTCTTTTCTACTCCCTATTTACAACACCAAGAGAAAAAAAAAACCTCTTTCCTGCAGGGAAACATCAAAGAAATATATCATTAGCAAACGATAAGCTCCATTCATTTGAACAGATACTGTAGTCTCGCGAAGCAATTCTGTATTTCTGCATCTTAAACTATTGCAAATTGATGAATTATCAAAGCAAAGTTGAGCATGAAATGCTGTGGGTGCTTTAGACACATTTGAATGGGATTGGTTTGAACTGCATGGATTACATAATCCTTGCATTTGATGTAACTAATGCCTTATCATATCAAAATGTGTCAATGAACTTCACAGTAATTACAGTTAAGTAAAGTGATTGTGTTTTTGTAGATGAACGTGCCAGGCAGATTTTACGCAGTGACATCCCCCAGACACACAGAAAGTGAATGACTAATTCAACTGCAGGATTTGTGGCCATGATTGGGGAAAAAAATCCCTTCTCTTTTCGACTAGTGTCATTGGTTCTTTAACGTCCACCTAAACAGGCAGACAGCTCATCTGAAGGATGACACCCAACACTGCACTGGAGTGCAATCCTAGACTGTAATTTCAAAGTCCCTGATATGGGATTTGAACCCAAAACCTTCTCACGCAGAGGGGAAGGTGCATTGTGTGCAAACTGCAAGCTAGAAGGTAGAGAAGTTGGCCTCCTGGAAAAACAATAGAACTGGGGTGACAAGTTATGGGTGCAGCTGTGAAGAACAACTGCAAAGTGTGTGGATACTGATGTGATTTCTTTCCTTGCCTTCAGAAAAAATCGGCAAAAGATGATAAGACAAGCAAGCAAAGCAAAAACTGCTCAAAGCTGAAAAATGGCAAACTGGCTGACGCAAACAAGGCAGAAAATCAGGGGCAAAGCACAGCAGGGGTGGAAGGCAAAGTGAATGGTGACAATGAAAATCCCTTGAAAGCAGAGGAAGATGAGAAGGAAAGTGCTGCAGCAGCTGAGCCTTTGCAAGACTCTGACTGTGTGCAAAACACAGAAAGGCAGAAAGCTGCAGAAACGACTGGGTGTGCTGGTGAAATCTCCGTTTCAGAAAATGCACTGGATAAAGGCAGTGACATGAAAGACATTTGGGAAAAAGAGGATCTTAAAGATGAACGGGAAGAGATTGAGAATAAATTTTGGAACGACACTAGTAACAGATGTGAGGAAGAGGTCAGTCAAGCAGAAATTGCAGCTCCAGTGAGTGGTACGTACCCAGGCCCCAGTCAGGAGCTTGGCATTGCTCCAGCTGAAGAGGCAGCAGCTGAAGCCTCAGGGGAAACAGCTTTGCCTGGCACACAAATAACTGAGTTGGTACCAGAGAAAGAGGAAGATGGAACAGCAACGTTTGATGGTGGTAATGCAGGCGCTGAGTAAAGCAGAACTCCGATTATAACTGAGATCAGAAGAAAATAAAAATTTATCGTGTTTTATCCTGTGGAATATTCTTTTACCTGCTAGATTGTAATATACTTTTTACTGTTCTGATAAACTTTTTAAGCCTTATTGACTCTTTATTGACATAGTGAATGAGGTCAAACAACTTGTACCCCCTTTGCTTGCTGTGCAATAGAAACTAATACAGATGTAGGCCACTGGTTCATGTCTTTTCTTATCTGATGCTACAATTGTTAGTGTTACATTTTAACAACAGAATTAATAATGTGTAAAAATATTCAAATGAGATTTTTTTATTGCTTTTTTTCACATGAGACGAATTGATGTAACAATCAAAAATGTAACATTTTTATACAAAATGAAATATGTTTAATTCAGTAACAATCATTATTTTCCAGGTTATGTGTGTTTGATTTCATTTTTCTAAATAAAGCATTCTTTTATCTGGGAAAAGTGAATTGAAGCATTTATACAATAAACTTTGCACAAATGCTGTAAAGTATGGTACTGGGAAATGCAGATCAATAATCAATCCCAAAATCGATCCTTAGCTTTTGCCTTAGCGCTAATCTTAATATACGGTGGAGATAAGCGCTCGGCGACGCAACCCCATTTGAAGAGCACTATATAAATGCAACTTGTTGTTGAGAAAATCAACCCATTAGTATTTTTATTCCTGATCCCAATCCAATGACTTCTGGAATGTGCAAATGTGTGGACGTTGGGTACAGACAGGATCAAGCTTGAATGGCACATCTCTTAGACGTGTGTAACGTCACCTTTTGACATGCATATATGACAAATGGCCACTTAGCCAAAGTACTAAAAAAGCTGTCACTTCCTACAGAACTTGTTGTAATCCACCCCATTTCATCGACTTCAGGAAAGGCAAAGAGAGCAATGGACAAAAATATCATATACGACCTTTAAAGAGGTTTTAACATTTGTGTATTAACGTAACACAGCGTGTTTTAATCCTGTACAGAAGTTTATTGCCATTTAAAAAATGCTTATATAAGCAGTAATGTTGTTGAGGAACGTTTCTGAAAGTTCACCTGTTCTTCTGATCTCATTGTCCCTTCACAATACAAATTTCCATTATAAGCGCACGTTGTCACAACTGGGGTTCTAATAATAATAATAATCCTTGTATTTGCTATAGCACCTTATCACGTCTTTGAGACATCTCAAAGCACTCCACAGAATACGCTGTGAAGTGAATTGACTGTATATTTTGTGGGTGAAGCATGGCAGCAATTGTGCACAGCAGTGTCCCACAAATAGTCATGAATTGAGCGACAATTATTATTTTTATTTATATCNTTTTTTGAAGGGATTATTACCCCTGGAAAAGTGATTTGCTAATTGACTTAACAACTGGGATCCTACTTACTGCTGGTGAATAAAGGCGTTCGGAGTAAGGAAACTTTCCTAAGGTTTCTCCATGCCCGAGAATCAAACACATGTCCTCTCGCTTATGAGACAAGTGATCTAACCAATATGTTACAGGACTTCACAATTTATTCTACACAAATCTCACCTAAAAATTCATTCTCATTGTATACTGAGGACCTGAGGCACAGTGACAGCTTTGACATAACAACTGAACGGAGACAGAATAAAACTTCCACTTAAAAACATACATTATAAATAAGAACAAGTATTTGAATAATGAAAGTCTGTATTGTTTGGTTTTACAGGACAGTTAAAAAGTTCTTTAAACTACTTTTTTAATATATTTTATGAGACTGTCTGAACCCTTAAAATTATTGCTGTCTGCAGCATGCTACATCTGGTTTAACAATGCAAGAAGCTGTTATTGGGATAGGATAGACATTGGGGCGAAATTTACAGTAAATTTCTTAATGCATTCCTTACGATAATTATCGTTGATTCTAAATGTCAAAATGGGAAGAAATTTCCAATTGTAAGTTGACGTTAATTGTTATTGGTAATAATTATCACGAGAAAGATAATATGAAATACCACAAATTCCACCCCACTATTTAGGCTTTACTTAAAAATATGCTCTTAAAATACACACAGTGACTCTACTACACTTGACAGTGTATTCTGTGAAGGGCTCAACGATGTGAAAAGGCTCTGTATCAAATGTAAGCACCATTATTATTATTATTATAACTTCAATGGCAGCATAATTTCATCAGCACAAAGGTAGAAGTGCATAAAACAGTACGATTTAAAACTTTTTATCATAGCCAAATATCTCTTCACCTTTGGAGGAGCTTACAGAAATACTGATATACATTCCCTGTAGGGAATCTCCCATCCTTGCTCAGCTAAGCCTGTCGGCATGTCTCTGACCTAGATTTGCAGAATGAAAGTGTGCTGGAGGTCCTATTGTACAGGAATCTGACAAACCCTGTTTTTGGAGCTTTCCACAAAATGCCCTGCAGACGAGCGCCTGCTGGTTTGTACAATCATTCCCCAGAGATGTGTTTAGACATTTTCAGGAAGGTGGCATATCATGTTTGTTTAAAAATACTACTGGGTCCAAAGAAGCACACTTTGTGAGTTCCACCATAAAACAGGGATAAATTCTAATAAACTGTTTCTGTTCATAACAATGTCCACCCAACATTAATTTGGTGATATATATTTTCCCCATAATGACAGAGGGTGGTCATATACCAGACAATGTTTGAGAAGCTGTGTTTCGCAGTCTGTATAATTGCACCACCTACAAGGACCACCTACACGACAGTCATGTGTGAATTGCAGGAACATTAATTCTGAAAGCACAAATGCCTCGCTTCAGTCATTCAGTAAAGTACCAACATTATCTTATCAGCTACACAGGATGAGCATAGAAGATGTGGATAAGTCAGGATAGGTCACACGCAGAGAAGAGCTTGTTAGGTAGAATCCAGAGTCTTAATCCACAGTCTCCGCTTAACCTTCTCTGCTCCAAGGAGAATAATCCCAGTTTCTCTAGCCTTTCCCAATAACAGACATCCCTCATTCCTGGTACCATCCTGGTAAATCTCCATTGCACCCTCTCCAATGCCTTAATATCCTTCCTAAAGTGTGGTGCCCAGAACTGAACACGGTCTCTAGCTGAGGCCTAACCAGTGTGCAAGGTTCATCATAACTTCCTGATTTTGTATTCTATGTCCCTATTTATAAAGCCTAGTACCCCGTATGCTTTTTTAACAGCTTTATCTACCTGTCCTGCCACCTTCAAAGATTTACCTATATGAACCCCCGGTCTCTCTCTTCACCCCCTTTAAGATTGTACCATCAGCTTATATTGCCTCTCCTCATTCTTCCTCCCAAAATGCATCACATCACATTTCTCCACATTAAACTTCATCTGCCATATATCTGCTCATTTTACCAGTCTGTCTATGTCAATTTGCAGTCTGGTACTATCCTCCTCACTGCTTGCTACTTTCCCTAGCTTAGTATCATCTGCAAACTTGGAAATTTTACTCCCTATACCCAAGTCCAGGTCATTTATATAGATCAAAAACACTTGCTTCCAGTCAGAAAAATAATCGTCTTTCTGTTATGTATTTAACTAAAATGAAGATGTAACAAAAAGGTTGCTGTTTTTAGTGATTAGCGCTTGCCTTGTTAAAGACATAACACAAAGACTGATAGTAGCTTATGATAATGGGCATTAAAAACAACCGCAAAACAACAACACCAGCTTGCACTTATATAGCGCTCTTCATGTCGGACAGAGTCTCGTAGCATGAAAGGAAAGTGAGGTGATTGTTCCTGTTGAAAGCACCACTTACAAAAATCCTTACATTTGGTATAGCACCTTTCATATCAGAAGGATATCCCAGAGCACTTTGCAGGATATATTGTAAAGTGCAGTGTGTTGTGTAGGCAAATGCAGCAGCCAATTTTTATTCACAGCAGTGGCCCACCAACAACCATGGAGTGAATCACCATTTTTAATTAGGGGATTGCTGGCCAGGACATGGAGGAAACTCCCTTTCTTTTATAATAGTGCCATGGGATCTTTATTGTCCATCTAAAAAGGCATGCAGGGGCTTTGGTTTCACTTCTCCGAAGGACAGCACCTCCAACAATGCAGCATACCCCCAGCATTGCATTGGAGCATCAGCTTAGACTATATGAGTTCCAAGTCCTTACGTGGGGCTTTAACCCACAACCTTCTGACTCAGAGGCAAGAATGCTACCAACTGAGCTAAGCTGACACAGACAATTTTGGTGTTTGACCATCTGAATAATATCCATCTAAACCCAAACATTTCCAGGGTTAAATAACAATAATAATAATTATAATCCTTGCATTTGATTTGGTGCCTTATCACATCTTCGAGACGTCTCAAAGCACTTCACAGAATACACTGTAAAGTGAATTGACTGTATATTTTGTGGCCGAAACATACTTAAAATAAGTGTGTGCACCAAAGAGGCTTCTTCGCATTTACAATGTCACTTTTGCATGGTCTATGCTCTATAGGATCTTTTGTACGGTATAAAGAGAAATACTGTACAACCCATACCATGCCTTTCTTTGATGATAGTGGAGTGGATCAGTTCTGAAGATTCTTTTCTCACTAAGCTAGGACTTCAGTCAGAATTTTACAGTGTGTGAGAGAGTAGGAGCCCAGAGAGAGAGGGCTGTAACTAGTGCATTTTAATATGTCCTTTCCATGTTAATGGATAAGTTACAAGAACTGATCAAAGAACTTCTTTTAGTTTTTGCCTTGAGAATAATATGCGCAGTCATGGATTGATCTCCTTTCAGAATTATTCATTGAATCCTGAGTGAGTGTCTGTATGTTCCATAGTCTACATTCAATCCTTCCTTGCTTCCTACTTGTTAAATTCAATGTTCTGATTTTTTTAAATGTATCTATAGGAATATGCAACTGCAATATAATCTCTTATTACTGGCTATTCTGCTTCCTACAGTTTGTCAGTAGTGCCATATTCAGGCTGTTTGGTCTGAATGGACCAAGATTAAGTATAGGCAGCAGTCAGGGCTGAGATTGACAATAATTTGAATTATGCACTGAGTAAAAAGACAATTCCTGCACATCTGGCTTTATTCATCTCCAAGTGTCATTATAAGCCACTTCTTTCATCACAAAGGATCAATCTTGGGATTCCTATCCAAAGGGATCCTTGTTGCGTTTGAATTCACTGACAATCTGGCCAAAATACTGCTGCTATGTTAAAGGCTTACAGAAACTAGGAAAAGCATGAAGAGAATTATAAAACTGGCAATTTATATCTTGTCAGCAATGTCAAAATATCTCCAAGAACTTCACCATTGTGAAGTGTGGTTTTTTTGACAGCCGGTTGTCTGATTCTTGCAGAAACCTATCTCCAGGTTTGAGAGTTCCACGCATTCCTGTAGCTCAGTGGTTAGAGCACTCGCTTTGCAAGTGAGAGACCTGAGTTCAATTCCAGGCAGGGCGAAACCTTGGGCAAGTTT